GGAAACTACTTGTTTCGGGGAACTCCAACGTGATGGGCGGCTAATTTTAGCTCGTTTTTCTTCAAACTTTCTCTCAACCATTAATTTGACCAGTTTCAAACTGTTAACACTTGAAGTCAGACATCAATTTAATACGAAAATAATAAAGTATAAAACTTAATTATATTTCTTGCAAAGAAAATTGACATTTTCCAAGAGTGACGGTCGGGACACTGATAAGCCTGCTTCTCTGAGTTGTTGGATTCGTTTCCCAATTTTAGACAAACTATAATTATTTCGTTCATAGCGGTTTTCTAGAATGTAGTTAGTAGAATGTTAGTCCATTTTATGCTTTAATGACATTAAATATTATATTTGAAATTAAAAAAAAAAAACTGTTTTAGCTTGTGGGACAATATTCTGTGATGGGTGGGACGAGACTCTATTAAGGACAAATAGCTCGTGAATAAAATGAACACTGCTGGGTTAATATGAATATATATTTTATTTTTAATTTGAAGACCTTAAACAATGGGATGATTAAGTATTTGTATATTACGAAAAACATATTCACACTTCTTTGAAGGTTTATAACTTCTCACCATAAATGTTTTTCTTGTAATAACTTACCACCGTTTTAAAGTCCCCGAATTGTACTTTCTTTTTGAAAAAAAAAAAATTTTTGTAGAATGGGGTTTGCGCAGAACACATGCAAATTCCAGTCGTCGGGCATGCGTTCATCTGACCATATATATTTAGCATAATGCATTCTCCATATCAACACCTCGCCGCCGTTCTTTAAAAGCTCAGTTTGGAGGCCGTCAGCTCCAACAACTTTTGTTGTTTTTCAGCCGCCTAATTGCTATTCGTATCTCAGCATAACCGGGCGGTGGTACATCCCTTCCATCGTTATCGACTAAGGTTCGGGGTCATCTTCTCTAAAAAAAAAATATTTACTCGAAAAAATTAACAACTATTTATACAAATTTTCTGATGAAAAATGAGTTTTTTAGAGGTGGTTTTAATGTTGACGGGTTTATGAATTAAATATGAATTTTATCGCCCGTTTAGGGAAACTTTTTTTGTGAGAATCACAATCTACTTATACATACGTAAATATGTATACGTTTGTGACTGCGATGTGAATTAAATTATTTAATCTGAATGTGTGCCTATGTTTAAGAGATATGTATATCTTATACATTCCGAAACCTCTTCATAGTGTATCAACAATGCATTATCTGAAGCTTTGAATATTTCACCAACAGTTTTATAAAACCTGAAAAAGGGAAATCATTTTTATATCTAACGTGACCAGTGTTAAGTGGCTTTTTTCTTCGTTTTCTTATTTATGAAATTTTGTTACTTATTTAAAAATCTTTGAGTTTTAGTCTACAAAAGCCTTTTGAATATATGCAGAACATGCAATTGCTTTTCTTCCCACAATTGTGAAGAAAAGTTTATTTTATTTGTAGTCCAAAGTTCAAAGATCTAAACGAATACTGTAATTTGGATCTAACAGTGATAAGCCTTTTATATAACTACAACAGAACAATTGGTTTTGAGGAGTTATAAACTCAAACAAAGCACCAAACAAGCCACGCATTCAAAGGCACCAGC